ATTATCGTGGTGTGCGTCGGCTTCTTGGTCTTCATGATCGTCTTGGGCGTCATCCGCATCAGAGCCGCACACCAGCGCTCCGGCGACCACAGGGATGACGACCAGGAGATGGCTTGGGATGACTCGTCACTCACTATTACCGTCAATCCATTGGATGTAAGTATTCAGCGATTGGTCTACACTTTCTCGCCTGAGACTTAATCAACACATTTTCGCTATGATTTTGGTCACAGCATGAGTTTTATGGCTAATACAAACATTTCCTATAAATGTAGTCATTATTTCAGTATTAAAACACATTTCTTTCGCCTTTTATTTCAAACTTCTAAATCATTTTTTCTTTATAATTGGATTTTTTCACAATTTATTTTTCAAAAACTGTTATTATTAGCAATTATTGCCCGAAATAGTAGTTATTTTCCAGTTTATTAATAATTAATATACTGTAGTCTTAAATAATTGATTCAGTGAATTGATACCTAAAAGACTATTATTTAGCAATTTATCATATACCGTATTTAATATTCTGAACACAATTTTCGTGGTTTATTAAAACTTTTTGGTAAATTAATATTAATTGAAATCCAAACGACCTTTCCATACACTACACTATAGTATACTAATTATGCATTGAATGAACATTAAGTTCACTTCTGCCGTAGACTTTATGACAGAATATATATAATATATGAGATGATATTCAAGAATATTGATATAAATTACTATAAGTGAATGAAAAAATATTGTTTGTCTAAACCATATATTTAGAGAATTGATTGAATTGCTAAAAACGAAATGAAATTGATTTGTGGTTTGAATTGAACAGCAAATAGAAGAACAGGAATCGCAACAAATGCACGACGAGGACGAAGACAGCGACAGTTCCGACGACGGGAGCAGTTATCACGAGGACGGGGACAGCACTGAAGACGAGGCCACCGACAAGACGAAGACCCGGCGAGAGCTCGAGTGGGATGACTCCACTCTCAACTTCTAATGCCAACCATTAGGAGACATAAAGTTATTATTAAGCGTCGAAACAGAGACACAAAAATCTTTGAGTCGACTGAGAGATTAAATCGATTCGTTGGACCAATTGATTGATTAAATCTCTCAGTCTTTCGCCAATTTTAAGACAAAAAAGCATTTAATTATTTATATTATTATTGAATCCATCGCTGGCTTTTGTTTCTACAAAAACTACACGACATCTGATAAAAACTTATTTTGTTTGACAAAAAACAAATTCATTTCACAAAAATATAATTCAATTTAAACGAAAAACAAATATCATATAAAAAAGAAAATCTTATTATTGGTTATGATTTATAATAATAAGTTTCGTTGTTTTGAGTGATAATTTAAAATTTTTTATTCTGTGACATTAAATGCCATACAAATCTATATGTTTTTTGTGCACTTATATTCTGCTACAAGTATTAGTGCACATAAACTGTACTACCAGTGCATCCATTGGATTGATTGGGAAGAAAATGCAGCTTAAAATACAACATTATTCACATGATATACACTACAAGAACACCAAAAAATCTGTCTCTTAATTATTATTGAAAAAGTACTTCATTTGTGAGTTTTAATTATTCTTGTGTTTGAAGTTTCAAAAAAATGTCAAAAAGTATTACTTCTAAACGTTATTATTATTATAATAATAATTACTCTATTTTGTTAGAAAACAAAAGTAATTATTATTAATAACTGCTACTTATACAGTATTTATATTTATTAGAAAAGTCACAGAATATAAGATACTATCGTAAAAGACATATTTTTAGTTGTCATTACTAGCTAAGTTTTGTTTTTATTATGATTATAATTATTTGCCAATTATTAATAACTAGTGTAGTTGTATGAGTTTAATCATTAATTATACGATTTCTTATAGTGCCATAACTTTAATTATATTTATTTTGCAGTTTGACTTAAGAAATGTTATTTTAATTCTTATTGTCCTATAATTATGTGAAAAATGACAAACAGATCAGAAAAACATAAAGTAATCGATCGATCGAAGAGACGCTGCATTTGTTTTACACATATCTTTTGAAATACCATAAATTGTATACCATTTACTAAAAATAGCCATTATTTACTTATGACAAGAAATTGATAATTTTGAATGACTGCAAACCACCAGATTTTAGGGTTAACTTAACTCTCTTATGTTATCATGGATTTGTATCATAAGGACCGACCACTTATTGATTGATTATGGAGTGATTTGATCGATTAAATCCTATTGATTGAGCACTTGTTGTGTTAAGCATTAGAAGGAATTCCTACACAAAGTTTAGTTCAGAGTTAAGAATATATTTTAGTTTTTAAAATACATTTCTCTTCTGTTGAATCAAATATATAAAGTATAATATAAAAGTCAAAAATTAATTTCATTCATAGCTTTTAATTTTTAACAAAATGATAATTAAAACTAAAACTAATTGATATAATTGTTCATAAAATAAATTGAAAAATACAAATCGAAAAAATTATTGTCAATATTACTAACATTCCAAGTGATCTCTATTCTTGTGTTTTATAATTCAATATTAATTATATTATAAATAAGTTTTTGTTGTTATACTTATTTGAAAAAATATATCTAATCGTAGAGCTAAAGACAAAATACAATTGATTTATGATTTTATTACTGAAGGGGTATCTGATAGTCATCTTCAAGACTAACACACAGTATATTATATTTAGATATAATTATTATAATGATGAAAATTGGGTTTTTAATTTCATTTTATAATAGTGTTGTTATAAATATATATAAATTCAANGATGACGCCCAAGACGATCATGAAGACCAAGAAGCCGACGCACACCACGATAATAATGGTTACGGCGTGACCTACAACGATGGGTGAGAGGCGGGCATTCACTATAGTGTCGGGAATATTGGCACCAAATTACACGCTAATCGTTCATAAGAACTATACACTGATATGAGAGGGGAAAGGGATGCTTCGGCACTTACTGGCAGTGGTTCTGCCGAAAGCGTCGGACGCGTCGATGAGTCCGCCGCCTTCGAGGAAACCGCTGGCGCTCTTAATGCGCGCCTCCTTCACGTCCACCTTATGCTCGTTCACCTGTGCGTGAGCTACCGGTGCCGTCTGGATCATGATGTGGTCATTCGGGTGCAGCGCTGACTTCTGCTGGGGAGCCGTTGGGGGCGACTGTTGTTTCTGTTGATCGACTTTCGGGTGGATTACTGTTAACGTCTGGATGTAGTCATTGCTTGAAAACCGTCCGTTCAGTTCAGAACAGCTTAGCTTAAAGGCACGATTCAAATAATAGGCCGGTTTTCGGTTGAAGTATACCAGTTGTCGCAGAATCTGCTGATAATTATGAACAGAATCCGCTCCTAATTTGCCAACAAATGTATAATTAATAAACAGAAGTGATTAGCGCTTTAAAAGCATTAGTTGTAAATCAAGTGTCAAACGCACTATAAAAGCAATTAATATGACTTTAATATAATGTGTTTTAACATAAGATAAATATTTGCCAAAAAAACTCTGTAATTAATAGGCTATAAAATAAGTGGAGTGTTATGTGTCGTACCATATATCACAATCCCATCCTTAGTCTCCTTGTGATGAATTCCCAAATGTGTCATAAAATTGGTGGGCAGTCGGAAGTACTCGTGATCCGGGTTCAGAGGTGGGTAGACCTGGACATTACAAGTGTCCAACTTGTGTTCGGACATCAGTTTGTTTAGGTTGTTGTTGGGGTTCGAGTCTTCGTCAGCCGAGTCGATGTCCGCCTCTTCGTCGTCGGTGTCGTCGTCATCATCGGTGTCGACCTCTTGATTGACCAAAACAGAGACCGTCGAGAAGAGCTCAATGCCCTGAAGGAACGCCTCGTACTCTCGCGCCAGGTTTGGGGTGCCGTTCAGCGCTATACTCGGCTGATCCGTCGGCATTACCATCACATACGTATCAATTTGTGGGATTTTCAACGACTTTCCATTAGAGCACCTGATGTTTGACACGATTATCGTTTCAAATTAGATAAATATTCAATTATTTTTCATATTTAATGCCAACACATACTGAATAGATGTTGAAATTCTGAGACTTCTTCGGCCAGGTGTTGGAAATTCGCGCGAATTTATGTATGAGATCTGAGACAACATGTCTTCAACATCAATGGCGTCTTTCCCGTCGATTATAACAGACGTGGAGTCGGTGTTCGTCGAGACTTCAGTTCCCGGTTCTAATGTGTCAGTTGTGGGCATTTGTAGGCCTTCTTTGCAGCGATGGAGACACGAGAGGACCTCCGGGTTCTCGTTCTGTGCGCGCAGGACAGACAGTCCGGCCAGGAATCCTCGGAAATGGAAATTCATTTTGGAGTTCTTGCCCTCCCAACACGCCCCCACCACAAACGTCGTGTTGACCCCCTTGACAGCATGGAGGGGCCAGTCGTCGACGATCTCCGGGTTCGTCGATGTATTCCTAAACTTGAGTCCGTCGACGAAGAGTATGGCGTCCGGGAAGTTGAGACTAACGGAGTAGTGGTGCCACTCGTTATCACACACTTCGGACAGTTTCCATCTGTATTCGGCCGGTTTGAAGATCGTGTGCTTCTCCTCATTGAACTCCCGACGCAACAGAAGTATGAGCCGACAGTTGCGAACAAACAGCGAGTAATGGTGTCTATTCTTCTCTGATGATCGCAACGAGAAAAAGAAATATTTATTTTCGTCGGCGACTCAAACATTAATGACTCGCAGAATAAGGGAATAGGAAATGATGGCAACGATTGGGGCATCAAATGGACGACACTTACTGTGATCGTCGGCGTTGCAGATGATGTGCTCTTTGATGTGTTTGTTGGTCGGGTCGAGTGGCGGCTCGTGTTTCATCCAAAAGGAAACCGTGAACTTATTGGTCAGGTTGTGGCTCAGTGTCGCTTCCGGTATGACCACAGCGTTGGTCGCGCCGTCAAACTCGTAGATCTGGTCGCTCTCTCGGCCGTCATCTGTGGGCAGATCTCGTGTCCACTCGGCTCCTGTCGACGGAGACGGCAATAAATCGACGCTTTCGGCGCTCGCGCCTAATGTCAAGTCAAACGGAAAGTAAGAAAAATGTTTTTTATTTATTTGTCTTTTCTGTCAAAATGAATAATGTATTCATTCCTATCGTATATTAGCTGTCAAGCCAGGGATGACCAGTTCCTTACTCTTAAGTATAGTCTAAGATAGGAGTCATAAGCTGTAGGCATAAAGTGCTGTCATCGCAGACAACCCTTTACTCAACTCGTATTTAAATGTTGGAAATCTAGTGAACATATTCTCACACCAAATAAATTATAGAGATCTTGATGGCTGTCCCTTACTTTGTGGTCATTAATAGTGATATGAGTTATACTTTACTGTATTTTTGTGTTAGACAGTAGATTTGAATCTATTCTCATAAATAACTTAATAGTAATGACTTAAAGAATAAGTTTAATTGAAACAAAATTTCATATTTTATTTAAAGACTAAAATTGAAATGATATCGAAATATACTCCGAAATATTAGCCAATAATAAACAACAGCTATTCGGACGACTCATAAGAGAGTCATTGGAGAGTTTTATTAGCTTTTCGTGTATTCTCCACATTAGGTCTAAAATTGAAATGATATCGAAATATACTCCGAAATATTAGCCAATAATAAACAACAGCTATTCGGACGACTCATAAGAGAGTCATTGGAGAGTTTTATTAGCTTTTCGTGTATTCTCCACATTAGGGAACAACTGATTTAGTCGACTATTACAATGAATTCTATGAAACATTTGCAGAATTTGTGATGTCTTTCCTCTCATTTAGAGGTGGAGCACTGAATGCCATATAAACCATATAAATATTATAAATTATAACTTTTTTCTTTTAGTGCTATATTTTCTAATCAAATTGAAAATGGCATCCAATATATCAGAATAACATAAATATATGAGACAATGAATGTAACAAAAATTAAATATTTTCTTATGAGTCCTAAACCTCTATATTCTCTCGTATTGATAGCAATCAAATGGAAGTCATAATATCTATCACTTATTTTGATGTATCGCAGAATCAATCAATAAATGTCTGTTCAGTGTATTGTATGGCACAGTATATCAAATTAAAAATAAGTCCCTTTCCTTAGATATGAGCCAAAGATTTGTTAATAAATCATCTCAAATATAGATATACTTTCGGTATTCTCATTATTAGATAATTTTCACCTATTATTCAAGCATTAGTTCAAAAATATTGATTATCTCTCAATACTAACCGCAAAGCTTTCGCTGAGATTCAACGGAATAGGTGTCGCGATCGCATCCCTTTCCGATGTGATGAGTGGCCAGAGACAGTCGCACCGACACGTTGTCCGTATCGCAGGGAACTTCGCATAACTGGAGTTCCGCGTCGGGCACCAGTATTCGCGATCCTGAGCCGGGGGTGTACTCTATCCGCTCGGGAATACCTGTGAGTAATGAATGCAATAAATGTTTTTGAGTGATGGAGCGAATGGAAAGTGAACTACAAGTGCAACACTACTACCACATAAGTAGACTTAAATATATTATGGGTTACTATGAATGCTTTCAGACCATGTATTTAATGACAGACTTTAAGTTGAGTCAATCACTGGTTGTGATGTCAAAAACCCCACTCTAATCATGATTTAGAGAAATACATAAATAAAATTCTTTCCATAATATATGGTCACGAAAAGCAATCATTGGAATTATCTCAACACAAATGGTTATAAAACAAATCCATAACTCAATAAATTGTTGAATAATAAGCAAATGCTTTTTCAATTCATATATTCTGGCAGTAATTTTGGTGAAATTTTTTTTACTTCATTTCTTTCGTAAAAAACTGTTACTTTAATCGCGAATCGTTTCCATTCAATGATTAAATGAAAATAATTTATCAGTTATTATACGAAAGACTTGAACACATCGTATAATAAAAATATATTGATTTATACGAAAAATAAATGAGTTTTTCCACACATTAAATATATGGACTCTCTTATGATGAGTCGTGCGATAAATAAGATAAAAACTTTGGTCTCTAATTTGAATACTAATTAACGAACTAATGACTAGATATTATAGATATAGTTTGCGCTACTCCTAGAGATTATCTTCATTTCAAATCTATAGGTAATTAAAATTTTCTAAAAACAAACAAAAACTCAAATGTAAAGGAAATGTGACGCAAATGAAGTTAAATTTGTTTTCAAACTCAAAGAGACAGCTATATTGAGCGCCTAATCCTTTATTACTGTGATCTCAACAAATGAGCTCTTTTTAAGAAGAACTGATGGAAACTACAAATGAAAAACATATGCCTTTGAAGACAACATTTGCAATAATGAGTGTAAAAGATATATACACTATGTTTGCCTCTCAATGAAGTATTTGAGTCTCGGATTCATTGAAGATTTAGTGATAGAAGTAGTTATGGTTTTGATTTGTACGAAAACACTGTCACCTCCTCTTCCCTCTCTACGACTATTACATCCCAGGCTATCAATACATCATTTTAAGCCAAACAACAAAACTTGTATATTATATACACTTTGTGTTATCATAAGAAGGGATGAAAAATAGTTACTTTATGTGTTGGCTCTTAAGAAAGACATTTCTACACTTGATTATCAGTTTCGCTTACTTTCCCTAATTGTGTCAAATAATTGTTCGCTATTTCTGTTAAAATGATCGCAAGTATTAGTTAATAAAACACAGTTTGGCACAGAATTAAAGGATTCATGGCTTGACTTGCAATGCGAGTAAATACAACACTAAACTCTAGAGTAAAACTATTTTTATTTCCCGATTTTATTGCTCTTTTGCAATGAAGAGATCTGAATAATTAACACATAAGTTAGCCTTCAATAACTAATATTTTGAATAAACTTTCCGTTAATAAAACCTCTTATAAGAACATCAATTCCATAATAATAATTATATAATTTTCCTGAATTATTTATTTATATAAAGTAGTTTTTAATACTAATATATTTGCGTTTAATAATGTCAAATATTCCCAAAGACCTAATACATGTATATTAGAGAATTTCGTTGAAAATAGTTTACCAAATGATCCCTTAAATTATGCAAATAGGAGAAAATTTAGATTAGTTTTTGAAGTGCTTTAAAAGCCAAACATTAGACCAGAACTAAGGCTTAAAAGAACACAAAAATAGTGAACAAGAATTTGACAGAAAAGAGTGAATTAATTGTCGGCAATAAAAGGATAAACAGAGAAAAGGTGTTATACTGTTTTGGACGTAAAAGTTGGAGAAAAAATTAATAGCAAACTCTAATGAAGTGAAATATATATCTATATATTATTCGTATTTCTAATCAGACGTCGAGATTTATATATATTAAATTGAAATAAATGTGTGCACAGAAAATGTAATTTAACGCGTTATAAGTGGCATACCTTTCCATCCGAGTTGACACACTTTATTCACTTTGATGTTGACTAGTGTTGGTTTAGACCTCTTCATACCGCAGTCATAGGCGACCACTTCTAGGATATGATTATGCGATTCCTTCCACGAGAGCGGCCGAGTATTCTTGATATTGCCGTTGGCGTCGATCACGAAGGGGGCCTCCAGTTTGTCGCCACCAATGATCTCATATTTGCAAATATCGCTGTATTTGGAGGAGCAGTCGTGATCAAAGGCCTCCACCTGAACGATCGGGTCGATTATGCGGCCCTCGTTCACAGTCACCGTATAGGAGTCCTGTCTGAATACCGGCGGGTATTCATTCACGTCCTCCACCGTCACGTGAACTGTCGCACTGTTAGGTCACACACATCATAGAGATTAGAAAAGCTTACTATAAATCAATAATTTGCTTAATTCATGAAATTTTTTCCTGTCTCGGCATTCGTGTCACTCCTTATGAAGGAATGTGTGAAACGCGAGACTCGAGAGAATAGGAGGCAAAAGAAATTGAAGTTTACTTTTCTGAATGCAAACCATTGCAGGCGATCGCTCTTATACTGAATTTATAAGATCTCCTTTTTTCACAATTCAGGTCTCTTTTGGCTTCAATGATGGCCTCACCATTCAGTCGGTCTGTTATTTGTACTTCGAAGGGAACTTCGCTGTGATGTTTGTTCACCACTTCAATACTACACACTTCGGCTATTGGTGTCAATCATAAACACATATTTTAATTTCATATTTAGTATCAGATGTTATCAATTTGCGAGCGATAATAAGTGGTATCAATTTGGGGCAATGGATGTGTGTCTAAGTGTCTAATATAATTTGCTTTCTAATAGATTTTTGTCTAAATTTTATTGTCTAGAGTTCAACGGTTTAGCGGACTGTCAAACAAATTATCGATTATTTTTCATTATTTGGTTTTTTTTATTCAGAATTCATTTCTTTAGTGTTTCGTTCAAAACAATGATTAAAATATAAGTCTTTCTATTCTATCAAACATTTCAAATGAAAGGATTTTTGTGTGAGAAGGGAGTCAATTGCACTCCAAAATAGATTTAAAGGATTTTTGGCTTTTGGTTTGTATACGAA